TGCTTGCACCGACTTTCCAGTTAACCAACTGCTGCCTGAGGCTTTTCCATATTTTTATTATCTAATCATTGACTGCAGGCTTGTGGGCGACTGTTGTTGGCTGGGGGCAGGGGTTTAATTTGTGTTGCCGATAATCCTCTTCCATCAATACAAAGGGGCTGGGGATATTCCAGGCTCATTTTCCTCTGACCAACGAGCCTCGTAAACAGAAGAACCAACGTGCTCCCTTTGGATATTGGCATATTCCTATTTTCAAAGTTTATAGATCAGAAGGGAATCAGCATTTTTATGACTTCTGAAAACTAATTTGAGATTTTAATGATCCCCGTCAGCTGGAGGGGCATTCAGTAGAGACACTTACATTGTTCTTTGGTCCCTTCCTCAAAACTGCATCCTAGTACCTGAAACCGGCAGTTTATTCCTAATTACACAGCTCTAACAGTTTGAACAGTATTTCTCTATGAGATAGTACATTATTTCCTTAATTTTAGTCTAGTGGAAGTGCAACCTCATGGAACCTCAGAGGTCCTTGCTGTTTTTCCATGCTCATATCCATCCAGCAGTCCTCTTGAGCACTCATTTTTCTGCCTCTTGAACCTTATGTGCAACACTGTTGGAAAAGAACATAGACCCCGTGCACCACAGACATCCCATTTGCAGTGTTAATGTTGAAAAATATAAACCTCATAAGAGGGCAGTAGCTAATCCAGTTCATTTATATAGTTACTAAGAGTATATTACGTTTTGCAATTTACTCTACAAATTATTTTGTGATGTTTGGGGTCTAGGGTGGCCTAAATTAAAAGATTTTTTTCCCCAAATGCTAAAATGTTTCTTAATAGAGAGAATTAACAAACGTGTCTAGAAATTTTATGCTAAGAACAGGGATTACAAGTAACTCTGACATCTTACTAAATGTTATTTTATAAAAATGTCTTAACTTGCAACATTTTGGGAACGTAAGATGGAACAAATATTTAGAAAACACAATAATATTAAAAAAAAACTAATAGTAGCAGAAAATTTACCCAAGAGCTGCAGAAATAAGCAAACTGGAATGCCAAATGCCTTCCATTTACTCTGTGCCCTCTAAAGTGAGCCAGGGGCCTGGAAGGTGCTGCGATCACGCCCTAGGACCAGTCAGACGGCTGCTCTGACCACGCATTTGCCAGAAGAGTCGTGGAGGAATATGGCGTAAGATCAATTGACGCCAACCACAGAAAGCGGGCAGATGTGTTCTGATGAATAAGCCGCGCCTAAGATGCATGAGTCACCCCAGGCTCTCTGCGCTCGCAAGGCAGGTGCTTCGTGCACTTGAGTCATGATTTAAGAAATGAATCCCTGGAGACTCACCAGTGACATTTTCCATGGCGAGCTTCTTGCAGGATAGTCTGACCTGCTGTCTCTGTGTCGGTAACACATTCATGTTCAATCCCACCGCTTGCCTTTGAGGAAGACTTAGGAGATTGACGTCATGTGTTCAGGCTGGCTTGAAATCTCATCAAGAGGCCAAGGGCAGACTCTCCAGAGTCAGAGTTGCCAAAGTGTCATTTATCAGAATGTAGCATATTTAGAGACTGCCTAGGAAAATATGTAATAATGCAGAACATAGTTTAAAAGGGTAGATGTGACTTCTTCCCTGATTGACATGTATTATGTAAACAGTAGCACTCTAATGTATACATGTAGTGTGCAAGTGTACACTATAATGTACATGTTTTTGTAATAAAACACCAAATTGAAAACATAGATCAAAATGTAATATTTGTTGCTTTAGGGATGCAGACTGAATGCATCTGAACATAAATATATAAATACAGATGAATTAGTGGATTAATCCATTAAAGTTTAAAAATATGAATCAAATATGAATCAAAAGACTTCCCTTTTATCCACGTGTACGTGTCACAGGTGTATGTGTGTGGCATGGTGCAGGGAATAGTGAAGATATTCAGTAAATTCCAGTCCCTTCGCTTCATCTTCTTTCCTCTGTGCAAATTTGGTCAGATGTCAGATCAGTTTTAAGGAAAGCGCTGGTAAACCTTTGTTATATGCTGAATATTTTGCATGCTTGATGTAAAAGCACAGTGATTTCAAAGTCTTATGCAGGATACGGTTCTGAGATACAGTTATCCATTGCTAATGCCACAGGCACTAGGCTTTGTAGGAAAGTAGAGGATAAAGTTTGAAAAGCCCATTGGTGTCATGTAAACAAAGTAATACTGTCATAAATAACCCAAGCTCCCCATGAATCAATTTCTAAATGAATTCAGAAAGGCATGATTGACCCCCTCCCCACATCTCCTCCCTGTCCCCGAGTCAGTCTTGATGACATTTCTCTCCTGGTCTATCCTCCATGTGACACCCACCATGTGATGAATCACATCCCACACTAATTACACAATATAACGTTTCTGTGTTGCAAGTTGATTTTTCACATTGTTCTGTTAGCATTTCCATCTTTGGTTGGTTGCCAGTTTCTTAAGACATAGCAAACAGAGAGAAAAAAGTATTTCATCTTGAAATAAAATCCCTGAGCTTTCCCAGGGTATATGGACTCTCTCAAGAAAATCTTATATCCATAATAATTATGACAAAACACTTTAAAAATGATACCTTATTTTAATTAAATGCTGAAATTCTCTAGCGAGATGAATCCACATTGCTCCTTGAGTCCTTCTAAATCTAGTTACTCAGGTGATTGGAGTGTCATCAATCATCCGGTTTTCATAGCACCATTACTTTTTTTCCACCACCCACTAATTTTGATATTCCTTTGCCATTAAAGATAGTGTCAAAAACTCACACTACCTATTTTTGAGAAGATGGATAATTTTCTCTCTACACACAGAAAGTTAACTTTAATCCTTACATTCGGTTTTTAAGGCTATTTAGTACATTAGATATACTTTGTAGTTAGAACTAATCTTTACCATAATCCCATCGATCTATTATGAAAGCAAATTAAATATGTCTGTTTTTAATATTTATTTATGAAACCAGAAGCTGGATTGGGAGCTATTTAAACTGCAATGTCTACTCCTTTTTTTTCCTTTAAGTTCCAAAAGAAATTACATTACACCTAATGGACACAATCTGTTTTATTGCATTTTATTACTAAGCTCACTTCACGTATTAAATATTCCTTCTGTCATGAGTGTGGCACTTTGTTTCAAATAGATTCTTGTTTACAGGTGTTGGACATGAGTTCGTTTCAAGGCATGCATGTTTACCATTTTTAAATTTTATTTTTTATTGAAACAGTTGAAGTACGATGCTGTTAGTTTCAGGTGTACTACATCCTGATCTGACATTTGCATGCATTATGAAATGACCACCACAAAAAGTCCGGTAACCACCTGCCCCATACGAAGTTACTTAACCGTATTCCTTATGCTGTATATTTACCATTTTAAAATTTCTATTTCCAGCTGAAGAACTTTATGAAGAACTATGATGGCGTCGCTGCTGCCTCTTTCTCAAGAGCTGTGGAAACTGTCGAAGCCAATGTACGCTGGAAAATGCTTTATCAAGATGAGCTTTTCCAATGGTTAGGAAAAGCTCTGAGACACTAATGTGTCTCTTATAAACAGTTCAGTTCAGAATTCTGTGAGAAGACCTGCATCGTGCGGAACGAGGAAAATGGCCAGATTGTCAGTGTTAATGTGTGGGAGGAATTTTTTTTTTTTTTTTTTGGTTTTGGGGGATTTTTTTGTTTGTTTCATTCATTCTGTTTTGTTTCTCTATTGGGTGTTCTTCTCTCAAGAAACTCCTGCAAGTGAAACTAGCGATGATTGCTTCAGCTGTACATTCTTGCTGTTCAGGACCAAATATGATAGTGATGCATGTTGTTGTTACAGTCAGTATGGAAACGCATATTCAGAATATTTTGTGCATGGCTGTATGGTCCTGCCTGTGTTCCAGCATGCTTATTTAAACTGTCCGATGTTGTATGTGAATATATGTTACATCCAGTATGGGCATTATGCAAAAGCACAAAGATTCTCTATGACAATCAGTGTGGCAATGAATGAGAAACTGACAAGAGGAGTTACAGTCTTAGTCCTGGGCAACGTGAGAGGTGAACTAGCCCTTTCAATGATCGATGTCCCTTGTTTTCAGCACTTGGATTGTCTTGTAATGATTTCTGTGTTGCTAACTCACTTTCTTTGAGTTAAAGCTGTGTATATGTTAAAAAAGGCATATGGCTAGTGTATGCATATGTATATGTACACAGGGAAGTCCCCTATGTATATAGTATGTTGTACACTGCACTTGTGCAAAGAATCTCTTCAGATCAAAGGAAAATTATCTCTTTTTATAAACTTATGCAAACTTTGAAAAGGCTGAAAGAGAATTTATCTCAACACTATCCTTCCTGGTAAGTTCCTGACTAAATTTCTCAACTGTCAGAGATTTTTTTTCATCTACTTCCTGACTGGTCTAGTCTACTACATAAAAATGAATTCAAACAAAGCTTATGTATAAACACTCTTGTAATTTTCCTAAGTGGCAGCCTTGCCTCGTTCATATAGATTCTGTCATCATTTTGGTGAAACTTCCTATTGGATAAAACAGTCGTGCATACTCAACGATTATCAGTGCTGAGAAAGTGTTTATTTTCCATCTGGTTTGTTTCTCCATCTCATGTTGGGTGGTGCAGAGACTTACAGACTCTTCCTGTGTGTTGGTCTTTGTGTCTGTCTGAATCTAATCCCCCATTAAGCGATCATACCTCAAGTGAATTTTAACGATCTCAATACCAATTGCACCATGGGTTAAGATGAAAAGTTTCTTTTCTTGAGCAAAGCTTTTCCTTTGGCGTTGACAACTCTGTTCTACCTTTTCCTGGCTGTGTATTGTGTAAGACAGGTGTTTTTAAATGGTATTATCACCCAGTAGGCCAGCTCTCCAGACATTGCTTAGAAACCCCAAAATGAACATATTTTAAGTTTACTGTGATGAAGTACCAATGCACCTACTGTACATAAGCCAGATGTTCGTGGACCACTTCTTTTTCTGAGGTTCTCTACTCCTCCAAATCTTGTTGCAAATCACTGAAAGAAATATATTCTAACTTAATAGTCACTGAACACTGCGGGGAACGTAGCTATTTTAGAAACTGGAGCCATAGATTTATTATAAGTTTATAGTAAAGAGGAACAATTTCATAATCCATAGAACAGTTATCAACTAAAATTGTTTCAACTTTTTAGCATTTAATATCCATTACTCATACCTGAATTTTCCGGCACTTCATTCAGTTAAAACAGATGAATTTTAAATACTAGGGTATGTGTGTTAATCAGATGTGGTGTTAACAAAACATAGTAATGCACGGTGTAAAAATCTAAAAGTCATCTCACCTCTCTGAAGTGATGAAATTCAGCTAGTATACATCACATACATGAACTCCTTACAGGGTAAGTTCAGAAACGTAACAGTAATAAATATCACACTGTCATACAAATCCCAGATATGTACTGTGTCACCATCGGATTCATGTCATAGAGAAGATAAAAAATTAGAGGTGGATATCTTGTTTTGTGTCGTGAATTACTGAAAACTCTTAGTGGTTGTGACATTCTTTTGAGTGGAATCACCATTTCCAGTTCTGAGTTAGAAGGGCTTTTGTAGTTCTTTTTGTAACTCCGCACTGTTGATAATCTTAATCCTCTTTCAGTATTTTAGTGGCCTTGAACAACTGGTTTAGCTACAATGTCAAAACCTAAGTGTTTAATTATGTGCGATGTTCAATACCTCATGTAACACTTGTTCAACAGCATAATGGTATCAGTGGCATTGAGATGGAATTTCTGTTTGACATATTTCTTCAATAATTTATCCTTTCCAATGTTGAAGATTATATCAGACTTTAATGTTTTTTTTAGTTGTTTAAATAAGTAATATTTTCAAAATAATAAAACGACCAATGATATCTCTTGGAATATTCTGTAAATTGTAGTGATAAAGTTCTATTTTCTACATAGAGTTTTTATGTTTTTTCTCTTCTTTGTCTGTTCTACAAATCATATGTATGCATGAAATAACAAATTGTTGAAAGTGTCCAACATCTCGGCTTAAAATGTTTCTGTGCCAAACAATATACGTACAGTCGTAAAACTTGGTTTCCCTTAGAAAAGACTGAATATTTACCATACTAAGTATTAAATATTTCTAGGCAACCTGTAAATAAAAAGTTTCCCCCATATTTACACATTTTCCCTTAAAATTTTCTTATAATCTGAAGTTTTTAAAAATATACAAGCACAATGTCTAAGGCTAGTGTCTACAATGCCAGGTTAATTTTTGAGTTTCAGTAATCTGAACTTTACCTATAGAACTTAAATCAACTTTAGTTTACATTATTTCTAAGATAATATCATAGGACTGAAATTTTCATGATAATGTAATGTACAAACATAAATGTAATATCTTACAAGGTCATTAAGATTATACCATATATTTATAAATTGCACTTAATTCTCAAATAATTTTTATATAGGCTGTTTTATTTGACTCCTTTCAAAAACATAATAAATTATATTAGCCCCTAATAGTCTGATGAGAAAACTGAAGTACAGCGTAGCAACATGAACTGTTTAAAATTACATATTGTTATTTTGGGAACAGTTACAATAACTGAAGGATTTTGAGAAAGTTTTCCTGCAACTAAAATAGAAAGATGTTTGAAAATAGCTCTATCTGTTGCATTAGTTGGTGATTTTCAAAATACCAGAAGCAATATCAAAATACATGGTTAACTGTATATACAATAATTGTAGTATTTTGTAAAGTCTGTATTTCTAGCTTGCATGATGTCAAGCAACTGGATGAAATATTAATCAACATTCACTTTGGTTAGCTCAAATAGCCAAATATTGGGATGAAAAATACAGTTCATTATTAGTAGTTTTATTTTTAATATTTTGATGAACAATGTTTAAATATGACCTTAAAGTACTGACAATTTGCTTTATTTTCCACACAGATTTCTCTGGTAAACTTTGTAGTAACTGATGGTCAGACCACTGATAAAATGGCATTCATTTAAATCAGTGAAAGTAATAGTCAAATGTTTGCAAATCTATGCAGACTAAGTTGTGAAAAGACAATTGTTGTGCAACTACAGGACTGGATTAGATGCAATAAACTTACTTAAACTAAAGAAGTTTAAAATAATATATTTAATTCAAATCTACTTGCTATTAAAATGTTAAGGGATTTTTCTCTAAGAAGTCAGAAACCTAAAATGGCTTGATTATTCTCAATATACCCATGAGCTAACCACATATGCTGTATTCGAGAAACGGTAAAAGCCCATATAATGAGAAATTAAAATTCCCACACCTGTTTTTTTCCTTATCAGAGACCATAGCTGAATTATGATCATTTGACACTGCAATATAGTGACAGAATTCAATTTAATTAAACACCTTTTATTTCACAGAGTACCTTGTAAGAGGAAAGAAAGGGATGTTCAAGGCCTGAAGGAATTTACCTCACAGTGAATGAAACAAACAGAGATAATGAACCAATCAGAATAAAGGCAACATGGAAGATAATTACATGCTACAGAAGGGGAAATAAATAATTTGTAGATAGAGGTAATATTGTGCATTATTTCTGTATACTTATTCTCAAAACTTTTGTGGGACTTTAGGATAATTCCCACTGTTTGGTTTCACATCACTTAATTGTGTTTTACAGAATTGTGTAATGTTTAGGAAGGATAATCAAACCACATACTTTAAACTTTTATAATTGAAATATAAGTTAGGATAGACTGTATCTTTAAGAAATACTGTTTGAGCATTTTAATAATATCAGTAAGTTGCAGGAAGAATGTTTAACCTACTTGTAAAAGTGGTTCAAGTTTTCTAAAATGGTTTTAGCATACTATTTGTGCTATTACAATGTGCTAATTTTAAGTTAATGCGTTACATTTTAAAAAACAGATTCAACAATTCTTATGCTAGGCAATAATGTATTTGTTCAAATTAGTATATGCGAAATTTTGAGTACAAGAAAGTTCTTGCAAAATACTCTAGAATTCTAAATTTGAATTATATAAAAGTAACTTTCACTTTATTGCTTTGAATTTAACGAGCTTTTTAAAATGAAAATAATTTGTTTAATATGAATTGCTTATAGTCAGGAAAAAAATCTAACAAAAGTGTACTCTAGTAGCTTTTTTTCAATCTTATTTTACAAAATTTTACTTCAAAGTTTAGGAAAAAAAATTTTTAAAGTGTCTTAAATATCAAAGATAAGCAGTTGGCAAAATATATGTATATTCTAAGTATACTGCATATGAATTTTACTTTTAAAATAGGTTTTCCACAAATTGTCCTACCAGTAGGCAGTATAACTTTATTCAGGTTTTGAAAACATAGCACTTTCAGGGATTTTATTTTGAATATTTAGTACTTTAAGGATAGTACACTGAACACGTTTATCTTTTGCACATTCCCAGTTCATGTGCTAATGTGCTAAAAAGAAAGAAAAAATAATGACCAATTCTTCATTTTGATCAGAATTAAATTTTTTGTGCTGCATTAATGCTAAATGAGTTAGAATATCTGGAAGGAACAAAAATTTCAGTGTCTACTAAATGCCAGGCACTGTACAGATATCATCATGTAATAACCCTATGAAACACCAGCAGTTCCAATCGGCCAATGGGGAGACTGAGGCTGAGAGTCGTAGTGAGTTTGCACAACTGGTGGTAAGTTTTAGTGAGAATTCGAAAACCTGTAAATCCAAGCCTTATATGGCTCCCCCGAGTCATGAATCTGCCTCCTGCCTGCCTGGAAACGTACAGACCAGTCTCTATAGAAGATTTAAATAGATACTTGGCTTACTTTTCACTGTCATGCGTTAATTTAAGAAAAATGTTAATTTCTGCATCCTGGTTTACCACTCATTTCTAAACGAGGTTATTCATGAGGCCTCTAAAATCTTCATCAAAGTGTTTTCCGTTCGTGTGTTGCGTCATAGATTTTAAGCTATAACAGCCTATAAAGATTGAGTCCAGCCGACGAGCCTTGAAAAGAGACGTGGGTTGCAAAAGTCTTCACTAGCGGACCAAAAGAGAAGGTTAAATCTTTGTCCTGCATGTGGAGGGGACCCGTTCATCTAGCCAGCACGTTCTTTTTGCTTAGCGATGAGGTCAAAGAAAGATTTCTCTTCCTGCTTAGAACTGTATAGATGGACTGCAGCTCCTTAATTTCCTTCAAGTTACATTTTCCTTTGGCCTGCTGTGTAGATATAGTTTAAGATAACTGCTTTGACCTAGCTCTGCACAGGTCAACTTGATTCTAATCGCACACATTTTTACTGTGTCATGAGAGAGTGAAATATTTTATAGCATATGTTACAGTGGAGTTAAGAACATCCGCCTTGAGTGTGCAGTGCATTTACTTTCTAGGTTAATCATTCAGTCACTATCCCGTTGACCCCTACTAGGGCCACAATATTGCTCTTGCTCTTGGTC